TTCAACTTCATCTTAGACCGAGCGATGCAATAAAAAGAATTGATTATAGTAAAGGATATAATTACTTCATATGCTACTATTTGAACTGCGTAACTCTGCTGACACACTATGAGACCTCTCCCTTCTCCAAGCCGAATAGTACTATGAATAGTGCTGAATAGTTCCGCTTAGCTCTGAATAGTTTTCATCGTGTTGGTCTGTGGTGGAAAGTTCTCGTAGTCTGCATAGAGCTGTTTTAGAATCTTTTAATTGACATCGCTCGGTCTAAGATGAAGTTGAAAGTAGTCTTTTATTCTTCAAGTATAATTGGATCATAGGAAAGGATCGACGTTGACATACGAACAAGGATAACAACTGTATGATAACTGTACATATCCAAAATGGCAATTCTAGAGTGACAGTAGATGTAACGAGAAAATGCATAAAGAAGAAAAATGTATGAAGAGATAAAATAAAAATCGCAAACATAGATCATGGACATTTATAGGAAAAAGAAAGTAACCGGGATCGGCTTGGAGAAGGGAGAGGTCTCATAGTGTGTCAGCAGAGTTACGCAGTTCAAATAGTAGCATATGAAGTAATTATATCCTTTACTATAATCAATTCTTTTTATTGCATATCATCAATAATATCATTGAAGCTCTTTTAGGAAGCAAAAATAAACCTACGCTTGTAAGAGAAAAATAAGTGGCATTTAGCACATGATCTCGATTACTTTTATCTGTGAAAAACATATGGAATAAATAATAAATTACAAGACAGGTATGACAGTTTGTCAAAGGAAAACAATGAAAATAAAAGCGTGAAGAGGAAAACCGTCAAAACGTTTTCATCCTTTTTAGTTGATGATTTTATCGAAGTTTCAAAATTCATTAAAACATGTGGAGTTTCAGTCGTTAGCACATCAAAAAGTCGTCCTAATCAACTAGCATAAGTTTAATAGAGCGAGGCTTGGGCTTTTCGACAAATATATCTCACACTCAGGATTATTCAATAAAGAGCATTAGCCGGGTAGACAAGAGAGTAAAACTGGCACTTGGGGCAGGGTGGAGCGGAAGACGTCTTCCAGCGCACGTTTCTGCAAAATATACTCGTTTTGTGAACTTTCTCGTCTTACAAATTCTTTTCTTTGAAGCGACTATTTTGAATTGTTCTGATGCCTCTAGAAGGTAGAGGAGAAGGGTATAGTGAATATCTTCTCCTAATCATACGTTTCTGGACGTTCATCTGTAGAAGGTAGAGGAGCAAAGTGCACAGACGATTATCATGACACAGTGCACACAAATAAAAGTTGATGAGTTATCGCAGGTCGTTTCGAATATTGTTGTTCCCACCATGAATCAGTTATCATCGACATTGTTGAAGGTTGTAACCGGTCAAGGTCAAATAAGTAGCGCGGAGGTGTCGGCCATTCAAAACATTCCATCTCAATTATATGAGTCAGTTTTGGCCCACACACTTGTATCTCAAAATGTCGGAGGTGGTGTCGCCAGCTCTCAGTGGGAGACAGTTTGGGAGAGTCCTCTCTCCATCGTACAACACTTCATATCCATCGCAATGGCGTTAAATTCTTCATCAGATCCGTTTGTATTTTTCGATTCATATCTTGATCCGATTGTTTCTCAGGTTTCTCCTTTGTGTGAAGATGATCATGTTTTATTATCTACCGTGCTTGCGGAATGGAATTCGAAAAGCACCATTTCATCATTGATTTCAAACTGGAAAACGACTAACCGGCCCCCTCCTCGAAATCCGAAACCCTTCAGAATCATTCATTATAACGTAAATAAGACATATCGCCAAAATCCCTATTCACCTGGTTTCCTTCGCCTGGCAAATATGTCACGACGGATCGTAACGCGCATGAAGGTGTATTAATTTTAGTTCACACGTCGATTACGTCAAAACAGGCACACTCACGCACAAATATATTGACGGTGTCCCTATCGTTGGGCTGTTTCAACAGGAAAGTTTAGCGAGTTTATTTGGTTTTTATTTACGAAAAGTTTACGGATGTCATTATCAGAACTTGGAGTTCTTTTTTCCGATTTCTGGTGAACGTACTTTCCATGATCGTGTTTTTCGCGATTGGAAAAAATATTCTTTCTCTGTGTGCTCTCATGCTAATTCAGCGAAAATCTTCAAGTAATCAAGGAATACAATACAGTCTTTTTGACATACGTCGATTATGTCTATTTCATAAAATCATGAATCGTAAAATCTATCTGCACGATTTACTTCCGGAAAAAACTACTCACTGTCATGCCTTGCGTAGTCAAAAGCAAAATCTATTTCTTAGATGAATATTTCTACCAGAAAACTGAAAAATCCGACGAACATTTTCCCTTTTTCAGACTGAAACTTCTACTACCTTTTCGAATTATGAGGCCTGTGGCTGTTTGTTGTATAACGAAAGCAGATACAGAATTCGTATTTTCATCATATATATGAATATATATTCTCAAGTTTTATATCATTTGATAGGATTGCTCCATAGTTTTATCGTCGAAGGACGAAATGTTTTATTGAAATAATCACACCCTCTTTTAGTACAAGAATTAGATTTTGCTTTTGACTACGCAAGGCATGACAGTGAGTAGTTTTTTCCGGAAGTAAATCTTGCAGATAGAATTTACGATTCATGATTTATGAAATAGACATAATCGACGTATGTCAAAAAGACTGTATTGTATTCCTTGATTACTTGAAGATTTTTCATTTTACGAAGTGAACTCACCCAAGCTCTGACCATAGAATTGGATGAGAGTTCCTCTTATCGCTCCAGATATGACGCTAGTGTAATTAATTTTTCCTACGATACATCCACTATACACTAAACTCAAAGCTCTTGTGGATAAGAAAAGTTTTAAGTATTTTATCGAATCCAAGAGAAAATCGATATGAAGGATTCAATCAAGGGTTTATGTTATAATTGAACCTGACAGCGTATGTTGATCAAGGTATAAAAACGCTTTTTTTAGTATTCGGAAGGATATGTTAAGAAAGCATATCGCTAAAATACGGATTATTTTTAGAGTATAGGAGGAGGAGGTTGGCCTCCTGGCAGGCATGAGCGAATCCGAGTCCTGACTGGAAAATTTTTTGACGGACTCGGACTGGAGATTTTGTATTTCGAGTCCAATCTATTCAACTTTAACACAAATGAACAGAGAAAAATGAAAAACGAAGTAACAACACCTTCTGTTTCGCAAGAAATTGAAAATTTTGTTCAGGAGACGGACATGCGAAATAACCTTATTTTGGAAAAATCAAATATCTATCCAGGGCTCAGTAAATTAAAAAAAGAAATAAACCACCCTCATAAAAAATACCTCATCTAAAAGATTACGGGACTCGAAATGAACTTGGAACTCGGAACTCGGCTTGAATTTTTAAGGACTCGGACTCGGTACCCCTCGGATTCGCCCATGCCTACCTCCTAGAGGTATTTCAAGGATTCATCCTTTTTATTCTCACTTTATTGAATGTCGAATTTTATTATCTTCCAGGGATATTATTACTCGATACCATTTTAATATTTTAAGAAATAATTGGTTAAAAAGTTTAATTTGTTTATTGATTACTTTAAATTTTAGGAGTTTATTTTCTAGTGATTCAAATGAGAGAGTATTTTGAGGCTTAATTTAATTTTATAAGTAATTATGAAAGAGTATTTCTTTGACAGAATTTCATGGGTTTCATGTATTATTAGAGGGTTTAATGACTACAGTCAGATTAATTCGTATGATTTTTTTATCTGTAGAACCTTGAATTCATTATGGGTTTGAATTTGCTTGGTATTGACATTTTGTTGACATTCAGATTGAATTTTTTCATCTGACCACAATTTAGGTGAAGGTAATAACTAAAATAAAATATGTTTTTGCAATTAAAGATCTTTCTCTAAACATCTAAGTTACTAATTGTACTTGTTCTTGAAAAGGGACTTTATGAGTAACAGAAGCTTTGTACAAAAATTTCGGTTGTTCGACGACTTCTGGTGTCGTTTCTCCACCATAATCATTATTCTCATTTGTATTTGATGGATTAACTTTTGACCTTCATTTAGAGCTATTCTTTCAGCATATTCTTATTCCAATGACTGCGGCCCACGTTTATATTTGGCAGTTAATCGACGCAGACTTGATTCCGATTGTTGTTCCAATGGTATGATAAGTGATGATTTTAATGGACTAGGTGGTGTTCCATGAAATGTGGTATTAAATTGTGAACGTTTACGCTCACTAGTGTAAAAAATTTCCTTATTCGTAACATATCTGATGTTATTTTAGATGTTTTAAATGCTGTACCTCATCTTTACTAAATATCAGAATATCATCAGTGGATATAATAATAAAATCTAGATAATTCATAAAATATGTTCTTCGTTAATTTCATGAACGTTGGTTGAGCATTCGTTAATCCGAATGGCATTGCAACAAATTCAAAATGCGTGTTCTGAATTTTTCTATATCATCGAATTTAATTCGATTTCAACTACTACGAAGATCAATTCTAGAAAAAATTTGAGCACCACCTAATCTGTCTAATTCTCACACACTACAGAACATTTTCTTCTTCTATTCAAGTGAAGTCAAATTTGGAATATTAAATTCTGTTGATTCGTATTTTATGGTTTATAATAAATAAATATTTTTGCAGTTCATATAACATCTCTGACGTAACAGAGGTCACTAAAGCAATAACTGATTAGGTCTGAAGTTCATCTGAAACGACCAATATCGGATTATATTTGAATTGCGTGTGAAAAAGTTATCTATACACAAAAGTGTTTTTGCTATACTCTTTCTGGTTGAAAAATGCGTATAGGAATAGACTTTAATCTCAAGGTCGACTATGGCGGCAAAGTGTTTTTCTCATATTACAGAAGTTCTGGCTGATCGACGTTTTTGTTCGACAGACAGGCAGTGGAGATGTTTTTGTACCCCAGTCTATACACAGGTTTGTCTTCCTTTTGTCAATTTACCAACGAAGAAATCGTACTTCTTGGTACGTAGAAGTGCCCAAAAGTACAGAAGTACACTCTTTTTCTCTTGCATTCAACCCAGCTTAGAGACACTTAGTGTAGAAGACAATTCGACATGTTACATATATGAGGGGGCAACTCATGCAGTATCAAGTTCTATCGAATCCTGTGTAAGAACATGAAAATATATTTTGCTTTAATTTTGCATTATTAGTATCCCTTTATGCTAAACTGAACTTTACATAAATGTAAAGTTCAACTTTTCATTCCTTGATTTGAGAATATTGGTAAACAAGGGCAAAAAGGACGGCATAGGATTACTTGTTAACTCACCCCATATTAATTTAGAAGTAAGTGAATCAAGAGGGTAGGATAATTGTGTTAGATGTATATCTGACAGCAATTTTCGGTAGTAATGGTTTTGCTGTGTTCTGGTTCTGGTGTGTAGATGTTTTTCATATGTAAAAGACAAAACTCTTACGATTTCCGTGCAGTAAACGCACATTTTTTTAAGTGTAAAACAATGAGCATGTGAAAACTTCGTAAAGCAAAGATGACCGTACAGACTATGAAGTTGTTTATATTGATAAGAAATATTTTGAGAAACGCTTAGCTTTATTTTGTAATATTAATGATTAACATACTATTCCTACAGTACTATTTTTGATTATTATATGCGAGAAAATGGGATGTAACAGTGGAATGAATTCCGTTTTGGTACAATTACTTGGAATATCAAATACGGATGACGGCGGAGGACCATAAGTAAAGTTAGAAAAATGAATATTAACATCAATAGTAGGTAAATTTAAATCCACTGGTATATTTCCTTTTACTGTTGCATAATAATAAAATGGTGCTGGAGGTATCTACATAAAAGATAAATTAACGACAAGTAATATACACTACTCCGCAAAAATAGCGACATCCCTCTAACTCAAGAACCGTGATAGCTACAGACTTCTAATTTTGGATGATGAAAGCTCTCATCGAATATTGATCACCCTATCAGTATTGGCCTAACTCATGATCCAACAAAGATGAAAACATCTTTTTACTAAAATGTAGTCCTGATTCTCTTCTATTCTATTCTACGAATTGGCTGTTGATGATCACTGAAAGACAGCTATTTTACGATCGAAGTCCCTGAAAATGAGACCCTGAGATGTGAAATCGTTTTTCGAAAAAATTCATAACTCATCCTAGGAACATTATTTCGACTTCAGACTCGCATCAAATACTCTTCGACGAATGTAAACTATTCAATTAAAGTGTGAAGATTAACTATTGTGTGGTATCAGAAATTTATTCAAAATATACTATAGATTTCATGATTAATGTGCATCATACCATGCAAAAAATATAATGACAAAAGCCTGTGGTGAAAAAAACAGTAGGTGAAATATTGTTAGAAAGTTTCACCATTAAACTTACTCTGTTCATCCTGTTTTCATTCGTTTCGAGTAAAATTGCTATAATTGAGTGAAAGTGACAGCTACACTTGAAAGTTCCGTTTTTGTAGAGACTATTTGTACTTAAAGTGTACACCCTTTTGAAATTTGTAAACCTTCCAAGTTCAGTGGAAACTTCAGATCGAATAGTAGTCTATATCTTACATTCCTCATGTAGACCGAAAAAATTTCTGTTTGTAAATACCATCTTTAACTATGTTACAATTTCTCGATGATGAATATCGTCTTAGATGCTGCCAGTATTCATTCTTGTACGATAAACGTAAAAATATCTAGCCCACTGCCATTATGAAATTATTTTTTTATCCTATCATCGCTACAGCCCACATTTGGATGCTAAGCATGTGGCCAAAATGGTAAAATGTGTACGGTCACCGTTCAATGATGGGAAAAGCGGTGAACTGATATAAATGATTTATCCAATGTACCAGAGCACGGTCACCCTCGTGTTACCACTGCCGATGAAGATCAGATGATATTAGACTTAGCAGAATCGAACAATGAAGCAATCTGTTCTTCCATTTAGCAAGGTTAATGTGAGTGTTGATACCTAGGGGTGTCACTTTACTTTTACTTATTTGTTACTTTTCCGGAAAAAGTAACAGATTTTTGTCATTGCTTTATATTTTACTTTTCAGAAATAGAATTGCTTGTTACTCGTAAAAAGAAATAGTCGAACATTTCTTGTTACCGGTAACAAGTAACAACTTTTATTACTTGTAAATCGAATATAGAACTGCTATTCATAGCAGTTCTATATTCGATTTACAAATACTTATTTCCAACTGCTCTACCAACAAATTTCATAACTTTTATTACTTTGTTACTTTAAGCAAAAGAAATAAAGTAAGTATCTCGATAACAAAGAAGAAAAGAAAAAAGACGAACTGGATGAGAAAATTCACATTTCTGTACTCTCTAATCTTTTGTACAATATTTCTCCACGCAGTTCATTTTTACTTCCTCATCCGTTCGTTTATCCTGCAGACCGAAAGCATTAGACTGAAACCGTATTACAGTATGGATACTAGGCCTACGGTTTTTACAACAATATATTTCCGAATAGTCTCTTGAAATGATACCGAAACTAATAATGTATTACTTAAAAACAAGAAAAACAAAGTAACTGTTTTCTTGTTACCACTTACTAGTAAAAAGTAACTTTTTTTGTTACTCTTAGAGATAAAAAGTAACAGAGTAATAAAATAAGTTACTAGTAACTGGTAAGCAACTAACGAAAAGAGTTACCGCTTCTAGTAACAAGTAACTTTTAAACATTTCTTGTTACTAGTAAAGAAACAGTAAAGTGACACTCCTACTGATACCATCTGTCGTCGTCTTCATGAAGCTAACAAAATATTTTGTGCTCAAGTATCCAAATCATTGCTGTCCGATAAAATATACGTAATAGACTGAACTAGGCACTGAATGTTAAAATGAGAACTGGGGTAATGTAGTTACACAGAACTTGAATCGTTTTAGTTCAGTAAAGAAAATTTACTAAAAAGGCGTTATTCCCATGACATGTCCATAAACTATATCTTTCTTTAGCGTTTTCCGGCCACAAGTTGTTGTAAGGACACGCAAAAAGGAAAAAGAAAAACGCACGTACTTAGTATATCGTATCGTTTTTGATAAATTTCTTTTACTGAACGATTCAAGTTCTGTGTAACCACATTGCCCCAGTTCTCATTTTAACCCTCGCCGCTCTACATGTGTTTCAATAGCGGGTGCTCATTCTCTATAAGTTTCTGAAACCACACGATAGTTAATCTTCATACTTTAACTGAATAGTTTACACTCGTTGAAGAGTATTTGATGCGAGTCTGAAGTCAAAATAATGTTCGTAGAATGAATTATGAGTTTCACATCTCAGGGTCTCATTTTCAGGGACTTCGATCGTAAAATAGCTGTCTTTCAGTGATCATCAACAGCCAATTCATTAAATTCATATCGCAGATAGAAGAATCAGGACTACATTTTGGTAAAAGATGTTTTTATCTTTGTTGGATCATGAGTTAGGCCAATATTGATAGGGTGATCAGCATTCGACGAAAGCTTTCACCACCCAAAATTAGAAGTCTGCATGTATTATGGTTCTTGAGTCATAGAAATGTTGCTACTTTTGCGAAGTACTGTGAATGTGTATGCAATACTAGCATCTTTAATTTATTACCTCATAATCATGACAGCCACTCCATTTATTACATAAGGTGTTATTATGTGTTAGATTTCCATTAAAGTCATAAGTTGGAAATACCAACATAGGTTTTATTTTTCCCGGAATTTGAGCCCATGAACACGCTTCTTAAAAACAAAAACAACGATACAGATTAACATTCACATTGGTTTAATAGAAAAATAATAAATATTACCTCCTGATATGACATATTGTCGAAAATTTTGGAAGTCTATAATTGTGATATGATTTTGGTTAATTTCATCGAGTCTATCTCTATAAACCGTTGTATCTGCATAGTAGACTGCAGGTTTTCCATTTAATATAATTGATGTAGTATACTAATGATAGTAAATTATTTTTGCTATTGATTTTATGAATAAACTAAATTACATACCTGACTCGGCTGAGGTGGAACAGGATGTGGATCTGGTGAAGGAGGAAGAGCTATTCTACTACTATTAGATGTGTAAAAAAATGTAATAAATAAAGCTAACAACAATATGATGTGATTGGCCATTCTAATATGAACAGTATTAAAATCTATAAAAAAACGGGTTGAATCGATGTAAAACATACCACCAGTACATCGGCTTCATGCATCAGCATCGAGACTCAATAGCAATTATAAAGATTAAAAAATGCTGACTTTTGCCAAAAACTGCTGGTCTCTAGCCATTTGTGGAAGCTGAAAAATCATCATTTTGCACCTTTTTTTGAGCACCTTTTAAGGCTGCCGCTGTCTCTCCTTCCAATGATAAACTAACATTCTTTTCACTTGAAAGAGTAACGCACAGTCTGTCAGCTTTGAAAAAATAAAGTTTGTTTAATGGAGGGAGCTTGAGAGAAGTGTAGCCAAAAATCCCTTAATTTTCTGAAAAAATCAGACTTACTTGCGCACTTTTTTAATATGTGAAAAACATAGAGCAAACGTTTCTCTACCAAAGGAGGCTTCTTCGAGTAGAAGACTTCGACTACTGAACGATGTTTCATTTAGTGACTATAAGTTTTCTAAGTTGTTCATTAAACATTTAGAGTTAGAAAGTGATTAAAAATTTGTGATTGGCAGAAAAACTCGAAGACTTACAATCGCTCAGGCTCACAAGTCGAATTGTTTGCTCTAGTTATTCCACATACTAAAAACTGTCAAGTGCGTCTGATTTTCTAAGAAAGCAAAGGATTTTTGGAGACACTTCTCTTAAGCTCCATCCATCAAATAAACTTTATTTTTTCAAAATAAAGTTGGTGTAGTCATGGTACGTTTCACACGGATTCGTCCAAAAATTATTTTAGTATATGGTTAAATCGAAGGTCGAAGAAGTTAGAAGAGATAGAAAAGAATCGATGAGAACGATGAAAAGACGACTTACTTTAGCTTGATTGTGAGAAAACAAAACTTTAAGATAGAAAAATTAATTTTACTCTTTTATGTTTCTAAAAAAGATTCATTGCACTTTTTCTTGTCCCTTTTATTTGTTGATCATACTAGCAAAAGAATCAAATATTTGTTTGAAAATGGATTAGAGGCACAAATCAACCCGAATTACTCCACATTGATTCGACAGAAAATTATTTTTTAAGCAAAGGGAAACAGAAATGGAGAGAAGTTTAGCTGTTTTTGACCGATCAGTGTGAAAATTAGTGTTTCTTTTTCTGGCTTTTTGTTGTTTTGCTACAGATTTGGTGCGTTTTACTCTTACGTTTCACATACCGCATATATTGCTTCACACATCCCCACGTACAAGAAATCAGCCCTAAAACGCGTTAAATGTTTCATTTGAAACGAAGAAAAACGCGTTAAAACAGTCTTTTGAACACCTTAGAAACACGTTACGTTCTGGAACGATTCAGAAGCTGCAGACTCGATCCAGTAACGCGTTTTTATTCCATTTTCCAAAAACTCGTTAAGTGTTTCATCTGAAACACGTTCTTTTCTACATTCTAATGGAAAAGTAACCGGTTTCTACAGTGTTCAAAAGGCTGTTTTAACGCATGAGAAGGAAAAATGAAACAAACGTTATAAAACGCGTTTACACGCGTTGTATTCCATAGAAAACGCGTGAAAACGGGAGTTTCGTAACGCGTTTTTTGCCTTTTCTAACGACTTTTTATGCCTGGATCGAACTAGAAAAGGTCGGTTCATTTCGACCTTCCGAATGTATCGAAGCAGTTGCATTCGTTCGAAGCCACAAAATTCTCTCTCTACTTTACAAACTTAATAAAAGAAACAAAACTGATGTATAAAAAATTGATCAGATAATTACTGAATATGTCAGAGAACATTAGTTCTTTGCGAATGATTTCTTCTTTTCAAGACGTTTCCTACAAACCCGAAAAATGTTAGAGAGATAAATTTAGTCCTTTAGCTAGAGAGACAATTTTAGTCCTTTAATATAATCATAAACCCTCAAAAACGAGAGAGAGAGAGAGAAAAATGCTCTTGTGGTTCGCAAATAGTTCCTAAACAGTAAAGTGTTCACAAAGAGTTGTATTCTTTTCCATACCCATGTTGATGTTTTTTATTACATTTTTTCTTAAAGATTATTGGGTGTATCAGCGTATTCCAATTGATTATGATATTCCCTATTGTTTGACAGTATTGATGATGCCATAAGAGTTACAAGAACTCGCTATAATTAATTAATTATTAAAAGAGGAAAATGTATCAACTTAATAAAATGTAAAATTATGTAAATATTTTGTAAAACATAGGTGTCTACCATCTATCATTTACAAATATACAAAACGTTCTTCAGTTCTTATCTGGTCACGATGTATACAGAACGATGTCATGATTATAATAAAATTTTTGTCGAAAAGAAATTCTTTCAGTACGAAAACAGAATAGAAAATAATGACAAATCTAAGAGAGACTCCATGAGTAAATCAAGAATGCTGTGAATGCATTATAAAACCTTTGAAAAATACTTTTTTAATACACTTTATCCATAAATTCAAGTGTTTAACCTTTTTTGGAAACTTTTAGGAATCTTGAAAAGATTTTTTCAGAAACAAGCTTTAGACATATTTCTTCAAAAAAATAAAAAATTCCATAGTACTTCGCCTTTTAATTGTAACGCTATGAGAATTAATTCAATTTCTGAAATTATACATGAGACTGCACAAAACTGCACAAGTCCTGTCTGTCGATCTCTTTTGGTTCGAGAGTTATAGGTGATCACTGTGAATCACTTCCCAAAAAATGAACACTTTCCTCTTGGACTCCTGGACTTCAGGAGTCCATGGGAGTCCAGGAGTCCGCTTCCCCCCCCCCTCCCCCCTTGATTATAGACCAAGTCTGAAAAAGTCCCTAAAACAATATATAATTTCTGAAGGAGATCTCTGGAAAACCTTCGGTCACTCCGTGGCTGAAACCCAATTTTTCGACCTGATCTATAATCCATGACTTGTTTTGAATATTTCCTGAAAGTTACAGTTTATTCGAATCGAATCAAAATCAGATCAAATTTATTTTTATGTCCTAGATGTTAAATTGACAGTGGTACTGACAAAAAGTTAAATGAAAAACTTTGACTAGGTCAATACCGTGAACAAAAGAGATAAAAAGAAAAAGATGGTTTAAGAACAACATTGCAATTACAATAAACAAAGATGTTTAGCTAAAGCACGTCCGTTGAAATTCACGTTTAAAATTGGAAAATGGCATATAAAATAAGAAATGACTGAGTTATGAATATTGTAGTTTTACATGGGTTTAGGAGAAAAAGTGAATTTTAAAAAAATTGGCTCAGCTGAACTCTCCAGGATTTGAAGAAGAAAATAAACCTTGCCACGATGATTAGGGACGTTGATAACTTATAGTCCATCTCTTCTTGTAGTTTCCAAGTCAAAACTGTGAATGATAGATGGACCTTCGAAAAATGCATGTAATTCTCGAACTAAAAGAGATTGTGAGATCGGACTTGTGCAGTTTCAAAGAGCATACTTCATAGTATAGAATTAACATTTCAAAATTAAACATCCATTTTTTGCCTGGAAATGGACAGCTGTCGGACTTTGTACAGCAGGATTTACCGTGGTAGACCTAACCCGAAGACAGGCTTTTACACAGTTTCACTTTCCAGTAGTTCCTCTATCCAATAGTGAAAATCGCATCATCCTCGCTCGTTCCGTTAAAAAATTATTTTAAAAATGCCGGGGATGCTTCTTTTTATGTACAGATAAGTAGCGTTTTCAGTAAAACATTTATTTCGAACGGAAATTTCATTTCTCTAAATTAATTTGTAGCATTTCTTGTAAAGAAGTTAGTTTTCTACAAGATGCACTATAGTATATTAACATAGGATCTTCGTAATAGATCGAAAATCGCTAAATAATGAGTTAGTATTTTTATAAGGCAACAAAATATTTAGTCAGTAAAAAATATATAAATGATCAGTTATAAAGATTAAATGGTCAGTACTTAAATTATCAGTAATTAATAATAAAATGATAAGTTTATTATACATAATTAGCAGTAAAAACATACAGTTTATACCAGTAAAAAATACAAATTTGATCATTTTAATTAATTAAATCTAACAAAAAAAGGGTAAATTTTGTCTTTTTCGTCGTGACACAGGAAAACAAAGGAAAATATTGAGCTTTCTCTGTGCGGATATAACAGAAGAATTATTTTACTTTAAGATAAAGAAAACCCTATCTAAAGGTGTTTGATTTTGATCGAGTTATAAACGTTTTTCTAACTACACCAAAACTACAGTTGGTAAATGTTGATGTCGACGACAGTCGATAAAAGAAATAAAATTCTTCCACAACCGATTATGATTACGAAACGTTTTAAATATAGACACTTGATAGAGCTTTTCAAGGGCTATCAAATGGCCATCTTCTTGTTTTTTGTTTCACAAAGTATGAAGGACTAAAATTGAAAAAATTGTTTTTTGAGTTGCAAAGTAATCGAGATCGAAGCTTCGCAGTATTTCTTCGATATTCTTTTCTCTTTACGATATATAGAAAAATGTTTAATATATCTTTTGTAGAGAATTTTACGGCACATCTTTTAAGAAAACAACAAAGCTTAGGGGATACAATTCAACTAAGATATGAACAAAATACTAAGTGACCGATTTATTCTGGAACACCCGTTATATGTCTCTTAAGTTATTTTCTAGTTTATATCAATATTCATGGCACCTTCTGCAGCAAAAGATGGAATAGTATAGCATTTGTAATAAGATGAATAACATCCAGAACTTATAAATACACGAACGGAGATCAGGCAGAGGCTGATTATGAACGAGAACATTTTTGAATTACTTCACTTATTCAGCGTCTTCTAGTGCGAAAAACGTCTTGTATTTGTTCTGATCATAATGTGTGCACATGAAGTGTTTTTATATTTATTTTCTTTTATTACCCGCTTGGACAGTTTTCAAGAAAAAATTTCGTCTTTTCTTAAAATTTAACTTTTTGTTAGAAATCTTAATTAAAAATTCCTTAGCAGCCCCAAGGATAAAAAGTTTCGATGAACTTTTCTAGTCGAGAAATATTTGATAG